GCCCCCCCCGGCCACCAGCCAGTCTGGCAGAAATCTGAGCTCGGCCAGCAGGGTGGTGGCCTGTGGGGACTTGGCGTCGTGTCGTCCCGGACAGCCAAGCCTCTGCCTTCGGTCCCCGCAGGGCATGTCACCGCTGATGTACGCCTGCGCTGCGGGTGACGAGGCCATGGTGCAGGTGTTGATCGACGCGGGGGCCAGCCTGGACATGCAGGTGAGCCAGCCCACAGAGCCACGGGCCACTCCTGGGGCTTAGCCCTGCCACAGGGCCATTTGACAGCGGGAAGGGGGCGTCCCAGGGAGCTGGAGAAACAGTACGCGCAAAGGTCCGGGTGGCCGAAAGGGTGCTCCTCGACGTGGGCTTCCTATCTGGGAAGGAGTGGGGAGGAGGGCCAGGACCCCGTTCCTGTGGCGACTTCCCCTTTCCAGCTCACCACTCTGCCCCAGGATTGCCAGCTCAGCCTTGTCTAGACGCACGCCCCCTGCCATCCCCTGCCCAGGGCAGACATCGCTGATGGCACATCCCGGCCTCCTGAGCCTCATCCGCCTGTGCTCCGGGCAGACATCACCAATCAAACGCCTGCTGCCCTCCTTGCAGAGTGCTCCTACTCGGGTCCGGAGCCCCTGCCCAGGAAGCCCTGACCCTGTGCTGTTCCTAGGTTCCAAGCAGCTCCCCCAGGCACCCCTCGGTCCACCCCGACAGCCGGCACTGGACCCCACTGACATTCGCCGTGCTGCACGGACACATCTCGGTGGTCCAGGTAAGCACCTGGCAGCAGCCCGGCTTCCCGGTGCCTCAAGCTGGAGAACCCAGCAGCCCTGCTCAGCGCCCAGGCCCCCTCTGCAGGCGAGTCCCCGACTGGCCGCTCCCAGGGGCCGGGTCTCCGGGTCTCCAGGACACTGGGCAGTTCCCACTGCTAGACTTCAAGTCTCTGAGTCCACGTGTCCATGGCTGTGGGCATGGCCTTGGCCTGTCATGGGAACTCAGATGGCCTTCGCTGGCCAGCCGCCACTTGTGGGCTGCCCTCGTGAGGACTTGCACCCTGACCGTGCCCACAGGGCTGGGCACTGTGCCCACTTGCTCCCAGAGGGCAGGCTGTACCTCTGCAGCCAGGGCCGGTGGGACCATGCCTCGCTGGACAGACCACCTCCAGCTGGTGGCCCTGACCCTGCTACCGACTCGTCACACCTGGGCTCCAGGCACAGGGCGGCCAGGGGTGCCCCGGACGCCGTGAGCGCCCCAAGGAGGCGTGATCTTGGAGTGCTGGAGTCCTCCCTCCAGAGCAGCCGGCCAGGAACAGCTGTGTCACCCCATGGTCACTAGGAGTGGCCTGTGTCATGGCTGTGGTCACTAGGAGTCATGCGCACACCCTCTCCCAAGCAAAGCCACCCTAGGGGTGGAACACCTGGCATTTGCTGTCCCTACCCCGTCCTGGCGAAGCCTGTCCTCGCTGGGATGAGGAGTGCCCCCCTCCCTGAACCTGAGGTTCTGTCCCAGCTGTGCTGGCGGCTGGGCCTTATGAGAAGCCCAGGGCTCAGGTCACGGAGCCCGTGTGTGGGTCACGCACTGTTCAGTTCATGCCCTACGGTACCGCGAGGCGGGCCTCTCCCATTCTGTGGGAGCAAAGGCTGAGGCTCGGGGGTGAAGTCCAGGCCCGGTGCTCCCATGCCGTGGCCAGGGCTGGCACCTCGCTCCTCCTCCCAGGCGCTGGCAGAGGGGGGACGCTGTTTCTGTCCCGTGCTTTCACCCCCTTTGCAAGGAGGCACTGGAAGGAGCAGTAGCTCAGCTCCTTGCATGGCCAGGACTTGGCCAGGGCTGCAGGAGTGCGGTCGAGGGTTCTGGGGTTCGGCTCCTGGCCTACGTGAGCCGCGTCTTGGTCACAATCCTGGGAAGACTAGAGGCCCTTCCACACAGCTGCCCCTGCACTTCCTAGTGCTCCCTGCCCTCCTCCCCGTCCCCAGAGCCACTTGGGACTTCCCAGTGCCACTGCCTCATGAGCTCAGCGTGCCTTCTGCCCACTCCAAAGTCCCCGGCTCACCCCAGATACCCCGTGAGCTCAGTGCCCCTCCTCCCCATCTCTGGCAGCTGCTACTGGACGCAGGCGCCCATGTGGAGGGCTCCCCGGTGACAGGCGGTGAGGACAGCTACGCGGAGACGCCCCTGCAGCTGGCCTCTGCAGCTGGTCAGTCTGCCCCGCCGCCCTGCAGGGTCTGCAGTCCTGAGGGCTCTGTCCTCCCCGCAGCGCCCTCAGGCTGGGAACCGCACCTCGGGCCCTCCCCACCCTGGGCCGCTGGGGCTCGCCCTCCCCTCCATCTGCCCCGCTGCTGGGCTGGGTGCTGAGGGCAGGAGGGCCTTTCTGGGGGCCAGGGCAGGCGCAGTGGTGGGGATAGCCTCTTCCACCCCCACCTTACCCCACACGACATGCTCAGCCACTAGTGGGACATAGGAGTCTGGCTCGTGGCCAGGACAGAGCCTTCTCACTGGCCTGGCCACCCACGTTTCAGGGAACTACGAGCTGGTGAGCCTGCTGCTAAGCCGAGGTGCTGACCCGCTCCTCAGCGTGCTTGAGGCCGACGGCATGGCCTCCTCGCTCCACGAGGACATGAACTGCTTTAGCCACTCGGCCGCCCACGGCCACAGGTAGCCACCCCCTACCGCCCAGGGAGCTGCCCCAGGCCTGGGCCATGTGGCTCCTGGGCACCGAAACCCAGTGGGAACAAGGAGGGCCAGCCTGAGCTTCCCAGAACCAGCCAGTGCGGCACTCAGCAGGGGAGGGGCCCGAGACACTGTAGGGAGCTGTCAGCTCCGCGTCTCACGCCGCCGTCATGCTGGCTCTGGTAGGGCGGGGGGGATGCCTGTCTTTGTTCACACGTGGCAGGGCTTTGGGTGCTCAGAGGTAGAACCGCCCGAGCCCAGCAGGAGGCGGTGTCTCCCTCCTGCCCACCTTCAGTGTGGCCTGAGCGCAGAGCGCACGCGCAGCCAGCCTGGTGGGCCTCCAGGCACAAGAACCTCAGGGCTTGCCCCACCCCCGCTGCAGGAACGTGCTGCGGAAGCTCCTGGCGCAGCCCCAGCAGGCCAAGGTAGACGTGCTGTCCCTGGAGGAGATCCTGGCCGAGGGCGTGGAAGACAGCGATGCGTCCAGCCAGGGCGGCAGTGAGGGGCCCGTGCGGCTGAGCCGGACCCGCACCAAGGCCCTGCAGGAGGCCATGTACTACAGCGCCGAGCACGGCTATGTGGACATCACCCTGGAGCTGAGGGCGCTGGGTGAGGCCGCGCGGCTGGCACACGTGGGCACGCACACACACACGCATGCACACGGATGTGCATGTGGACACACCCACATAGTCGCTCCATCCCAGCGAGGGCCAGGCCCACAGGGCGGGTGGGCCGCGGGACAAGGCAGACAAGACAGGTGAGCTCTTGGCCTCAGATGGTCTTGGCAGTGGCAGGTTCTGAGGTCACACCCTGTGCCCGCAGGCCCTCATCCTCCCCAGTTACGTGGCCCTGAGAGCCTTCACAGCCCGAGGCCACCCCCTGTAGGTGGCGTGCCCCTTCGTGGAGCCGCACCCGCCTCCTTGGGGCAGCGTGTCTGTGGGCTCCATGCCCTCTGGCCAGGCCACTCGGGCTTGGGTCTGCGCCATGGTAGCTGTGCACCTTGTGACTGTCCAAGTCTCGGTTCGCTCCGAGGGTTGGGCTGGCGTCCCTCCAAGCGCAGGGTCGGGTCGGCTGACTGTGAGCATGGTAGGTGGCAACAGTGCCTCACCATCATGGCCACAGCACAGAACCCCGGCTGGGCCCAGCGGGGCAGCCTGAGTGTCTTTGCTGCAGAATGGGGACTCCACTCCCACAGGGGCTGGGTGAGCCAGAGCGCGATCCCCGCCCTGCCCCTGGGAGCACCTGGGGTTCTCCTGGTTCGTGGTGGGGCGGGGTGGGAGCGCTCTCCAGTCACCAGGAGCACAGCAGGCTCGGGCGTACGTCCACAGTGTTGGTTCCGGGCCCGTGAGCAGTTACGCGCCCTGGACCTGCACTGCCGTCCTGTGCTCTGGCCTGGAAAGTCCTCCCAGGCCGGCTGTCCATGCCAGCCTAGTGGCCTGTGTCCCCTCCAGATAGTCCCAGCCCAGCAGGCAGCGGGGCCAGTCAGAGCCTGGCACCTGCAGGGCTGAAGCCGTCCTCCCCTGATGAGAGCTGATACCCATGTCTGCCGGCTTTCATTCTGTGGCTGGGCAGAGAGGGGTGCCAC